AGATGAGGTAAGTTAGAAATAAAAAATATTATTTTTTATTATATAATTAAAATAAAAAATACTAAAAAAATAATCATATTTCTCTTATTTTAATTTTAAATTGTTTAAAATAAAAGATTAATTTAAGGTTAAGTTGTTAATATGCCAACAGCTGGCCCTTTCGGGCTTGGCTGCCCAACACGTCTCAATGGGGCAACTTTTTCTCTCTTCTCTGTCTCCTCCACGTTCTGCTCCTCCTTTTTGTCGGCAACTTCACCGGCGAATCTTTTCTGCTTATTCCGGAATCGGAGTTTCTTCATCTTTTGCCCCCGCTTCTACCTCGAATCCGAAAGTCGTCGTCACCAGAGAACGCGGCAAGAACGGCAAGCTCATTGATGCTGTGGTCAGAGGCTCTCTGTCTTCCTTCCTCTTGCTTGTTTTTCTCTTATGTCGATGGATTTTTAGTTGTTCCAAGTCATTTTCCTAGTTATTTGATAATCTGTTCATGCTTTTCTCACTTCTGAATCTTTGATAGAAACTTGAGAAATCTCATTCTGCTACTATTTTCTTGTTATTATTTATTTTTATTTTTATTTTTATTTTTTTTGGTTTGTAGTCGTGAATTTTGGATTGAAGTTTGATAGAATGCGGGAATGAGAGCACTTCAAATTTTTTATGAACTTTTTCTGCCTTTTGTTTATTTTTTAAAATCATTTTTATGAAGAAATACTGTGATACGAACTTCTTGAACTTCGCGTTTAGTCTCTAAGTGGAACATAAAAAATGCTCTTGCAATTGCCATTTCTAGAATTTATTCATACCACTGGAATTAGACAGGCACGTCTAAGCAGATATGAATTGCAATTTAATGAATTTTTCGGCTACAAGGTAGTATCTTAGAAGCTTGAAAAGTCCATGTGACGATTAACAAAGATGAGTTACTAGTATGTCACTTGATATCTGGTAGGCATATCACCACTTAATCCGTCTAGTGTATAAGTGAACAATATATACTAAAGTTGGAAAGCCCGCATGTTTGTAGTGCACCATTTGTAGAACTAAGATGATGGTGCGGAATGCAGGCCAAACTTGGGATAAACTGTTTAGAGCTTCCCTTAATTCAGCACGCACAAGGGCCTGATCTGGATAGACTTGCCTCCGTTTTAAGTGGTGAGTTCTCAAATTTCTTGGTTAGATAATT